AAGCACGCTTAGATGTCATTTATCATAACAAAGTGCTGTGAAACAACACATTACCAAACACCACAAGATCAATAATAGCATTCAAAAACTCGTCGCTACCAATATTAAAATACTCTATGAATCCAAGAGTAATAAATGACTAAAGATTACTAAAACTATTTGAACCCAAAATCAATAAAAAAAAAAACAAACTAGTCTTCATGTAACCATATTCTTAAATGGTTCTAAAAAATATACGCCATTGCATATGAATTATGCACGTTAGCGTGGCACGTTGCATATAGAATTCTATGACAGTATTTACATTAGTCGGACTATTGTCCTCATCTTTGTCGCCATATTTTCACAACGTTTCGGCCGTTGTACGCTCCGGCCTTCTTCAGGTGTTTGGAATTTCGAACTGAACCCTTTATTTCGATCACTGGGGTAAACTGTTCTAGTTCCACGTGCCATGTTTGATAAAGGGTTCAGTTCGAAATTCCAACCACCCGAAGAAGGCGGAGCGTACAACGGCCGAAACGTTGTGACAAATATGGCGACAAAGATGAGGACAATAGTCCGACTAATGTAAAATACTGTACATAATACCTCATCTCAGAAATATAGACAGACTCTGAAGGATTCTATGAGTTATAATATGCATTTATTAATACCGCCTTCTTTCTAAATAATTTAGTAAATGCTTCTCTCTCTCTCTCTCTCTCTCTCTCTCTCTATATATATATATATATATATATATATATATATATATATGTGCGTGTGTGTGTGTCTGCATTGCAGGTCTGTGTTCATTTGTTTATAAATTTGAAGTTGATCAAGATAATCCATTTTAAGAACGGAGCAGTATATTTGCATTGAAAGATTATATATATATATATATATATATATATATATATATATATATATATATATATATGTGTGTGTGTGTGTGTGTGTGCATATATATATATATATATATATATATATATATATATATATATATATATATAGTGAATATACATAATATCCACCGTCGATAGCACCGCTCGGAGTTTCAGATTGTCTTGCAATATTCAGGTGCGGAATATATTTTGACCGTTATAGAATTCGCCTTCTCGTGGCGATGATTCAAAATTGTGTGTTAAGAATTGTTTATTTAATTATCCTCGCCTAAAATATTAAAAAATCATTAATATTTTGCATCATTAAAATTCTTAAGTCCGAAATGCGAAGAATATAAAAATTATAAAAAATTATTTAAATGTAAATTTAAATTCAAAAGTAAACAACATATCAAGGGGGATAACTCTCCTCTTTCCATAAAATACCATAGTTATACTAATTAAATTAAACTAGTACTCAGGGTAAAAATATAGTATAAGGGTGAAAATATGAACATAATAGGCTGGCGCTATATTTCTAATGTGTTTGGAATCTATCCTTATACTTATAAAGGTGAAATTATATATGCACACACGTTATAAATTAATCGAATACAGTAATATTGAATTGTATGTCTATATAGATATATAAGAAATGTTATTACCGATGGGATCTAAGAATACTAATAGTTGTTACATATCATATTAATGTTCCTAAAACCTATTTTGTAATCTCTTTTAATCGGGCTCAATGTGTTTGAGTAGGTGCCTGGACTTATGGATACATGTAAACATCAATTCTCGTGTTCAGCAATTTAGAGTTATTTACGTGTACTAATATAATAAACTTCTCCAACAAACACAAATTACATCTGTCTCTCTTTCCATTTTATGGCTTAGCTTCCACGATTATCTCCCAGCTAATGATTGGACTCTTATAGTTGTTTTTAATCGTCGAAAGTGTTATACAGTTTTTGTATTTGATATTGCTCAGTGTCATTTTGTGGTGGTAAAATACGCGACTTCCAGCTGTTCTAGGTGGATCGAAAGTAATATTTAAAATCATCGTCTGAACTGATTCTAGCTCTGTAGATTATACCTTCAGTGATGCATTTGTCATTTAATGGGTAGGTTACGTTTTACAGCACTTTTTTTAGGATTATTATTTAGCGTTTTGTTTGGGTGCTTGCTTAATACATTATTGTTATATTGGGATATATAATTATCTATATATTTTATACAGATATAGCTTACCTTAATATTATTTTTTGTCAATTTTTTTCAGTGTTGGAGAATAACCAAAGTTTTTGTAAATTAAATTCACGAAAATTCTACCTCCATTGGTTTTGACATAACTGTTGTATGGCGGGTTGAACCATATTATGTACTTTTGCGTTGTTTTAACTTACTTTTATCTTCGTTGTTATTTCTATCTACATTCTCCAATTTTACTTTATACTTGCTGTGTTCTTGCGCTTTGTTATATCTAGCTTTATTATCGTCGAATATTTCTTTGTTACTGGAGGATAGTCGATAACCTGTATTGTACCGATTTGAGCAAATTGTCAAGTAAACTTTTATGGTGGTTGGATCTTCTGTCGAAGTACCTGTAGTGTATGATTTGTACATGCCCTTACTCAGGTTAAATGTAACGAATAAGAAAGTGATCACTTTAGTGTTGGTATTAGTAATAATGTTTAGTTTTTAGTCCGTAAAGAATTTACTTAGGTACTTTCTCATCCGGTCTGCTTGTCTTGGTCTTTGTTAAATTATCCCGCCCTCTCTGTATATACTGTAGTTTTCATATATATATATATATATATATATATATATATATATATATATATATATGAACATATAAGTCAACACTTAGAGGCGACAGTCTGTTTCATGCTAGATGCAATCTTCAGGCCTGACGATTGCATCTGGCATAAAATAGACTGTTACCTCTAAATGTTGACTTCTATGTTCACTTTTATATTTACACACTCTCTATCTCTGATATTGAGCACCTTATCCCATAAATATAGCACACATTAAGACTAATGTCTTCATATATATATATATATATATATATATATATATATATATATATATATATATATATCAAAGATAAATCTGAGTCTCTATAGTCACAGTATCCCTACAAGTTCACATGTTTACATGCGTACGTATATGTGCGTGTATATATTTATTATCATCATACTCATACCTATATATATATATATATATATATATATATTGGGGGGTGAAGATAGATAGATAGATAGATAGATAGATAGATAGATAGATAGATAGATAGATAGATAAAGTATATTCTGAAATATTTCCAATCATTTGACAATAAAATCCATATTTACATACGCTTGTTCAAAGTATTTCATTATGAATATATTACATATGCAATATGATATAATTATAATATTATTGATAACAATAAGAATATAAATTCAATAATTGATTTGTTTTTACCAACCATTTGCAGGTTATTTAAAGCCAGGGAATATTTTTAGATTGCAAGAAGTGTTGTGAGATAATAATGACTTACTGATTTCCTCTTTCACACCCCGATTAAAATGAGCCGTAAGCTTGGACACTACTATGGTCAATTGTAAACCTACATTTTGGGGGACCTGAAGCTTAAAGATATGGAGGCTCCTTCGCAACCAGCAACAACAGATTCGAGAATCCTATTTTCAAAATGAAGTCTATGAATACATTCTGGCGAGTTCAATAAGCCCATCCAAATCAAGGGCTCCTCAAGTCAACAAGCAAATTTTGAATCAATTTTGAGTTCATATGAAATGGATATTAGAGCATATTTTAAAACCAACATTAGCTACTTTAACACATCGGCTTATGATTCTATCTCCAAAATGGCCTTATTTTAACACTTTTAAAAAATATCAATTTTGTTGAAAACTTCACTCATTAAAAATTTGCTCCGGCAGTCTGTCTGAAATTAAGGATCCTGAAGATTAAGGTTCATTAGTGTCATAGTAAAACCACCAATGGCTTTGATTTCTGATTTTCCCCATCTGTAGTAGAAGGTTATTAGCAGTTTGGAAAATGTTTCTAAAAATCTTAGACACGAATGTTCTTGTTAAAAAGAGCAATGCTACCAACTTTGAGAGAATTTATTTCTATTTCTGTTGTGCTGACTTTTATTAATTATAGTCGGAATACAGACACTTTTCAGAAAGACCAATGATGATGGCTCTAGAGATAATTATAAAGTAGACGTCTGGGGATTCCTGTGATTCCTTTTGGGGCCTGTAGGGAAGATAACCAATTTAATCTATCGCATTGAATTACTTCAAAGCGAACTTGGAATTGACATCGGATGTAACAAGGCACCAACTAACTTACAACCAACCCGCAACTTCTTACCAATGGTTAGGCGCCAAAGGCGTTCTATCGATGCCAAAAGTCGTATAATATCTCATATTATGTTTTGTAAGGGCAAATCCGACCAAAAAGAAGTCAGTTTATCACAAAAATTGGCAGGGACTCATATATTTTTAGGATGATGTGGAATCAATGTTCTTTTATTGAGTTCTTTGATTAATGTATCCACGATTATTTGGCTGCCTTTATTGTTCTAACGCTTCACGATGACCTGCAACTTCTCGTGTCTCTAAATAACACTCTATCCAATTCATTTCTTATCCTTCTACTCCCTTTCTTTCTTTCTTTCTTTCTTTCTTTCTTTCTTTCTGTTTGTCTATCTAAATTGCATCTATTCAGTTGCCTTCTCAATGTAAATTTTTATTCAATTTTCTATTTATCTTTCTAAATTCTGTCTGCACAATTTTCTTTTATCTGTCTAATTTTTTATTCAATTTTCTCTTTGCCTGAATTCTTTTTCTTTGTTTTCGTATGTATGTATATATTTATGTATGCATGTACAGTGTAACCCGGATATAAGAGACCCTGATATAAGAGAAACCCGGATATAAGAGAGCTTTTCTCTGGTCCCAAATTAGAGCCTGTGTTAATGTATATAAAATAGACCAAACCCGGATATAAGAGACTTCTTCTCCGGTCCCGACAACTCTCTTATATCCGGGTTACAATCTATCTATCTATCTATCTATCTATCTATCTAAAAGTATGTTCGTAACTGTCTGTCTGGCTAGCTTACGGTCATATCACGTTGAAACACCGGCTCTCGTATGATCACTGAATTTAAGCAACATCGAGCCTGGTCAGTACCTAGATAGGTGACAGTTTGGGAATAATAGTATGTATGGTTGGGTGTGCTGTTGGTGCAATGAATACCGTCACGGAATTTAAAATCAGAGAACCTGTCGGATAAGTTATATTTATTTATGGGTAAATACCTTTGGGAAAGGTATGAATACTTCTCCTCTGGCATCTATGGGTTAATTAGTAGAACTTTAAATCATTATTATCTTCAAAAACGACTAACAATCTAAAAATATTTTCTGGCTTTAAATTACCCGCAAAGGGTTGATAAATCGTAAAAAAAAGCTCTCTATCTATCTATCTATCTATCTATCTATCTATCTATCTATCTATCTGCCACCATAAGCATCCAATGCTAGAATTCGAAATCCGTCTTTTGTTTCTCTTTAAATTTAGTTTAACCCATTACCCAGGCTCGTTAAGTAGGTCGTGCGTTATTTTCTTATCTCACTTGCCTTGTGAGTTCACATTTTCCAAGCATTCTTTCCTCATTATGCGCCCTAAATTTTTAAACTGTGTCTTCCTGATGTTAGTAAGTGTCATTAAGTTTCCATTTTCTCTAAAACTTCTTCGTTGTTCACGTGTTCGCTCCAGCATCTTTTTACAGTAACATATTTCCGTTGTATCAAGTCACTTTTTAATCTGTGAGATATTGTCTAAGAGTTACTGCCCTATAGAAGAGCTTATATTAAATAAGAGTTCAGCATCCTTTTCTTTTTCGTTTTTCTTAATACTTTGCTTAGATTTTGGAAGGTATATTTCGCTTTCCCAATTCACCTTTGGAATTCAGAGTCTCATTTTTCGACCTTTGTTACAACAATTCTCAGATATTTAAATTGTTGTACTTGTTTGAATATGGCATTCCCAATTTGTAATTTGAGTGTTTGTCTGTCCCTTTTGCTAACAACCATGCATTCTGTTTTCTTGCTATTGAAGTTTCGCCCTTTCCTTCATTATTTTTTGTGGGAGAATCTCAGAATCGCTTCATTGTATAGCTTGAATATATCCAGCGAGAAAAAAAAAAACATTTTTGACTCACACGCCTTTCTATTCTTGTATATTTACTGAATTGATTTTCTATCCGGACGCAGACGGTGTACTGCCAGTATGGATTCTCAATTATCCTAATATTCTCTCCAAATTTATCAATTTTACCCAGCAGTTGCAACGGTTTTGCATAATCTATATGTATACAAACATTTGCGTTTATATTGCTCTTTCTGATATCATAAACTTTGCATTCCTTGTTCCAGTGTCTTTAACGAACCCTTGCTGTTCTTGTCCTATTTTCGGTCTAACTTTAATTACCATAATCTCGAACTACGACTAAGTATCTTAATTTTAAGTTTTAATATTTCTTGTCTTTCAATGTTTCTCTGTCCGCTTTCGTTGTGGGAATTGTTCCGTTCTTGGATTTTACGCATCCGGATGATGAGTATGTTTTTTGGCCTCTCCTCTTATCTTTTTATGTATATCTGCTTTATCTGTAATATTCATTCTTTCTATTTATGTACACTTTTCGTTGAGCCATACCTCTTTATCTCATTTCCCCATTTGTGTGTAGTGCTATAATCTGTGCCGCATCTTGGCATTGCTTGCTGTCTCCGTTTCATCATGTCGAGATTTTCATCGTTTATGGATTTCCTTCTTTGTCTAGTTTTCTTTGGAATTATCTCTCTAAAGCTTCTCCTAATGTGTTCTTGACATTCGGATCATTGAATAGTCTGTTGTATTGCAATTTATGTTCTACGGCTTCCGCAGTATACGTATCATTTTTCGCTCCCAAAATCTGCACTTCTGTGGAAAAAAACAACTGCTTCCCTGAATCACTTACTGACAGTTATATAGCCGATTTATTTTCTTGTTCCTTCTCCGGGGCTTCTCCATATATCTCTTGGGTGTTTTCGAAACGAAATGTTAACTACTACACCGTACACTGTTGGAATTTTGGTTAGGCCTGTACTAGTGAGCCAGCCAAAATGAGCTGACTCATTTTATAGTTCACCAATAGAAGGGTTAACCAATCAAAAGGCTCAGAATATTCAATGCGACGTGTATAAAGGCGAACATGTTTTTCCTGAATACTCACTGCCAGCCTTTGATATCGAAGACTGAAGAATTACTGAACAGCTGCTGGTGGTATTGGCGATATAGTCAGATTCAGTAGAGTGTCTGACTAGTGAGTGTTAATCTTTAACGTTGTTTCATTGAACAGATTACGTACTTCACTGTATTATATATTCATAGACTTGGCGAACATGGTTAACAAAGTTTACGAGCCAAGATTACGACTGTATTTTGACGGAGACGAATCAAAGTACGAATTATGGGAAATCAAGTTCCTAGGCTACCTTAGAATACAAAAACTTCATGACATCATTCTTTGTCAAGATGACCAGAAAGAAGATGAAGATTTTATGGAAAGAAATGC